TAGTTACAATTTGTGAGACAGAAGGAGATATTCGTTTTCCAAATGTTTGGAATTTGCATGCCATTGCATTTTCGTACATTTTTAAGAATGTCGATTTAGAAAGGAACTTGGACGGTAGCCTTAGAACTTTGTACATTTCCAATGCAACGATTATCGAGAACATGGAACTCGGCTGTAACACAAACGTTCTTTATCTAGAAAATGTAAAAGTTACTGACAATACCACGGTTAGAATACATGGATCATGCAAAAAGGTTACAGTGATGAACTGCAAAGGAAGTTTTGATCTAACTGACTTTGCTACCTGGTTAAAACTTAAAGTACAAGCTTCTTCATCTGCTTTTATGTTTATTAGTGACACAAGGAGAAGTATACATGAAACATACATTCGAAACGTTCAATTTGATGTGTATGATAATTTTAGAGAAAATGATAGTAATTCTGAACATAACATCTCCAATAATGATTTGTATTGTGGAACTGACAGCAACTTAAATGCGAAGGAAACATATATTATCAGCTCTCCTCTAGATCTAGCTTTCCTCTGCAATGTCAAAGTGATATCTCGATTATTTAATGATTACAGTTGTTGTTCTTACCAATGTATTAACAACAATGAACAAAGTAAATTTATCCTAAAATATGTTAAGATCAACAAAACAATATCGTTTGGTAAGAATGTCATTCAAAAAGTATTTTTGATCTATACACGAATTGAGAATGAACATATTTTTGAAATCAACGCTGGATACAACAGTTTGTCAATCAAATATTGCAAGGGCCGGTTTATCATTCCTGGAATCCAAATCGCTAGAACAGGACAGCTATATCTATCTAATGCCCAAGGTATTGTACAGTTTCAGAAAGTAAAGGATGATGTTTACGATTGTAAAATAGTTGAAAATAATTTTAACAAAATGATATTGATTTCACGTAAAATACGAACAGCCCTGCTACGGAACCTGCAATTATGTGATGATATCGGATTAGAGTTTCTTAGCGAATGCAAAAATCTACATTTAAACAGCTGCCGAGGTACAATCATCTCTCCACAAAATGATTTTAGGAAAATAAGATTGAGCAATTATCGCCGAAATTTTCCAAGTTACTATCTATCATATCCTGTGTATGAAATTGAAGTGTCATCATGCAACATCAACAATGAAATTCTGCAATTGGCAAACTCCATAAAAAGAGTGCTGTTGTATCGGCTTCTAGTAGCCTTAAATTCATCCATTGTGGTAAATCATGAATGTGAAAGAATCATCATCAGGAATTATACAGGAGAGTTCGGCATCCCGCTTGTCTTGAAAATGTCACCAGTATCCACATCGAGCTTACACTTGCGTGCCGGTGTTTTGGTGTTTGTAAATGATTCATCAAATACCAAACGTCGTTTATCAATAAAGGATGCTTATGTTGCTCATGAAACAGTTATACAGAACAACATACACACGGTAAACTTAATATCTATGATGGTACACGAAAATGTGAAATTAAGGATTAATGATGATTGTGAAGTTTTATTGATCGATAATTGCAACGGAAAGATCGAGTTTTCAAGATGTACTTGTTTAAAATCGCTTACCATAAAAGACTACAAGTTTAATCATTGCAAAGATGTTTTTAACAAGCTTCTTTCATTGTCACTTGAGCGTGTGACAATAAATGCTTCGGTTAAATTGAAAGAGAATACCAAAACAGTGAAATTAGTGGATGTAAAAATGGGATGGTTTTATTCTATGGAAATCAATGAGAATTGCGAAACTGTGCATGTCCATGGTTCTACAGAAGATTTGAGGATACCGCATATGTTCAACTGCATTGAAAAAAAGTTCACTGATAAACCAGTAACTATTTATTATGCAAAAATATTAGGACAGTTTGGCAGAATAATGTTTCTGAAAGACCTTTGTTTAAGAGATAATTACGAAGTTCCTAATGATATTGAATGTGTAATTTTGCGTAACGTTGGTGTTAAAGAAGGGACCAAATTGATGCTTAACAGTGCGTGCAAGTATCTAAATATTGAAGTACAAAAAGGTTGTATTGACGTATCTAAGGTAGAAAAATTAGCAAAAGTCGTCTTTTTTGATTGCTTACCTGTTTGCGAAGGTAACTTGTGGAGATTTTCTGCTAAACATAAGGACTGTACAGATACATCGCAAAAAAAGAGACTGGAGCTTCCTAATTGCATCGAAGATATCGTACTTGAACATGTTAGTGTCCCTAAAGACAATTTACTGGTAGTCAATGAGGGTTGTCGAAATATTGCTATAATTTTTTCCAAAGGATATTTTGATTTATCCAATGTTAAGCAGTTAAGAAAGTTTAAATTGCTCATCACTGGGCAATGTCCAATAAATATCGAATTTCCAGACCT